TGATAGATTATAATCGATTTTCTTATGCATATACAATATGAGGAGACACTAATTTAAACATCACTAATTTAAACATCAAAAAGAAATAACAATGTTGAAAATGAAGTACTCGTCCAGGCAATATTTTTACTTATATATATATATTGTATCAGAATATATATATATATCAGGTGTAGTAAAAAGAAATTCATTATTCTTGCATGAAATTGAAGGCTTTAATTACCATAGTTAGAATGATCCGATTTAGGTCAAATATGCGCCGTTTTGTTCGATAACTTGTTGCCATTTTGAAGGTAATTTCATTATGCCTCTCTCATAGAAGCCCTCGTCCCTATTGGCAAAGAATTGAGACAGTCGATTTTCAGAAGCCTCTCTTGAAGCGAATTTTTCACCAGCAAAATTCTTCGCCATGGACAGGAACAGATGGTAATCACTTGGTGCCAGGACTATAAGGTGGATGCATAAGAACCTCCCAACCAAGCTCCCGGAGCTTCTGGCGAGTCACTATCGATGTGTGTGGCCTGGCGTTGTCCTGATGGAACACAATTCCTCTCCTATTGGCCAAAGCTGGCCGCTTCTGGGCCATTGTTTCCTTCAGACGGTCCAATTGTTGACAGTACAGTTCCGAGTTGAGAGTTTTGCCGTAGGGGAGCAGCTCATAGTAGATAATTCCCTGCCAATCCCACCAAACACACAGCAAAACCTTCCTGGCCGTCAATCCTGGCTTGGCCACCGTTTCCGCTGGCACACCGCGATTCGACCACGACCGTTTTCGCTTGACGTTGTCGTAAGTGATCCACTTTTCATCACCAGTGACCAACCGCTTCAGAAATGGGTCGATTTTGTTGCGATTCAGCAGCGATTCGCAGATGGAAATTCGATCCATGAGGTTTTTTTGCGTTAACTCGTGTGGCACCCATACATCGAGCTTTTTTTTGTATCCAGCCTTATTCAAGTGGTTCCAAACGGTTTTTTGTGCAATATTTAGCTCTTGGGCAATCGAAACAATGCTTACATGACGGTCGGACTCGACAATGTCCATGATTTTATCGATATTTTCGACAATTGGCCTTCCAGTGCGTGGTGCATCTTTGACATCGAAATTACCGGAACGGAATCGACGAAACCAAAATTGCGCGTGATTGGCTATTACAGTATCAGGACCATAAACACTATTCACATTTTCAGCCGCCTGGCTTGCGTTTTCGCCTTTATCGAAGAAAAACTGTAAAATATAGCGTATTTTCTCTTTGCTAGTGTCCACCTTTGACGCGCGCTTAAACAAAACTGAGTCAACTAATCACAAAACTGTCACAAAAGTTTTTTTAGTACGAAATCTCGTCTTTCTAACGCCATCTAGTGGAACCCGATCGGATTTATACAACGCGAGATACAGATAACTAAAGCCATCTATTGGAAAAATAATGGATTTCTTTTTACTACACCTGATATATATATATATATATATATATATATATACAGGGTGAAGAAAAAACCCCGGGACCCCTAAGAATTTCGAAAAATATACACTTTATAAAAAAATGTTTCAAACAAAAGTTGCAGCGTTGAAAACGATCTATTTACCGATTTTAACGATTTGACCTTGGGTGGCGTCATCAAGGTCAGGACAAGGTCAGCTCGGATTTTTTAAATGGAACCCTCAATTTTTTATTGCATATTCTTCGGATCGGAGGATGATCCGGCCAACTAAGGTAAGATCGTAGGATGATCCGGCCAACTAAGGCAAGATCGGAGGATGATCCAGCCAACTAAGGCAAGATCGGAGGATGATCCAGCCAACTAAGGCAAGATCGTAGCATGATCCAGCCAACTAAGGCAAGATCGGAGGATGATCCGGCCAACTAAGGTAAGATCGGAGGATGATCCAACCAACTAGAGCAAGATCGGAGGATGATCCAGCCAATTAAGGCAAGATCGGAGGATGATCCAGCCAGTCAAGGCAAAATCCAAGCATGATCCAGCCAGTCAAGGCAAGATCCGAGCATGATCCAGCCAGTCAAGGCAAGATCCGAGCATGATCCAACCAGTCAATGCAAGATCCGAGCATGATCCAGCCAGTCAAGGCAAGATCCGAGCATGATCCAGCCAGTCAACGCAAGATCCGAGCATGATCCAGCCAGTCAAGGCCTTAGTTGGCCGGATCACCCTCCGATTTTGCATTAGTTGGCTGGATCATTCTCCGATCTTGCCTTAGTTGGCCGGATCATCCTCCGATCTTGCCTTAGTTGGCTGGATCATCCTCCGATCTTGCCTTAGTTGACTGGATCATCCTCCGATCTTGCCTTAGTTGGCCGGATCATCCTACGATCTTGCCTTAATTGGCCGGATCATCCTACGACCTTGCCTTAGTTGGCCGGATCATCCTCCGATCTTGCCTTAGTTGGCTAGATATCTTACTTTAAAAATACTCAGTAACTTCGGAACAGCTTATTCAAATTGGATAAAACTATAGTGCTTCGAAAAGGTCTGAAGAAGGGCTATAAGAATATGCAATAAAAAATTAGGGGTTCTATTTAAAAAATCCAAGCTGACCTTATCCTGACCTTGATGACGCCACCCAAGGTCAAATTGTTAAGATCGGTAAATAGATCTTTATTAACGCTACAACTTTTATCTGAAACATTTTTTTATAAAGTGTATATTTTTCGAAATTTTCAGGGGTCCCGTGCTTTTTTCTTCACCCTGTATATATTGTTACGTCCCGTGGAATTTTATTGGAATCAATAGAATTTATTTGACGTGGATATGACTATGAGGAAAGCGCCTCTATATAGAGAACAATACACGGTTTGCGAAACACATTGAACGACATAGAGGAAGACAAATGTTGTTTTATTCACGTGGGTATCGAAAGGCTTACTGTGATCGGATAGCTGGAACGTCACTGTTTAGGCGTCCGACGGAACGAGAGAAGGAGCCCTCGTACGTGCCCGCATTCCTCCCAGCTGAGATGACGGAACGTCGAACGCTCGCGATATCGCACTCCCGGCTTCCGAAAGTCGCGTCTGTCTTTTCTTGTACGAATTAATTAAGAAGATCGAAAAATTGGTTGAAATCACGAATACACTTGGTTGCAACAATTGTAATGAGAAAGAACCAGAAAGAAAAAAAAAAAGATATACGAGAATATGAGAGACCGTCACGAGATGATGGAACTTGAAGCTTCTCTAAGTACAATAGATAAGGAGAGACTTGTGAGCACGCGTCTGAAACGTGTGACGGCCTCAACGAGAGTGAAGAAGCGGGCGGTTCGCCGACGGGCCGAGGAGTCCTTCTTCTTTGTGTCGGAGCAAGATGCGAGTTACTCGATCTCCGGATGCAACAACGATAAGAACCCCGCCAAAGTGTCGCCTAAACAGTTCGGTTATCTTAGAATGAAAACGTTTACAATTTTATAGTCAACCGCGGGTGGACAATAATGCGGCAATCGCGAATTTAGGTACGACGCGATACAATGATAGGCCAAGGAAGCGTTCCTGGTGAATTCGGCGCAACAAGTTTAATAATTTTAACGGAGAGTGGCAAACGGGGGTAGTACAATTTTATAGTGATAGGTTTTTACTTCTTTACACTACATTTCTAACGCTTTGATCTAATAACCGGATAAGTACATAAAGTTTAGCGAGATGTCGGATAAAAGAAACAAGGTGGAGAATTACGACGCGATATGCCTTGTCTTCCATCCGAGATTCCTGAGAGCGAAGCTGGGCCGTGCTGCTGACGCAAAACAGTTATGAAATTCGTAGAATCACAATGCTTATACTGCAGAGTTATAAAGATAACGATTAGAAAAGTTGTTAACGGTTATAACGCAACTTTCCCACACTTAGTGCTTATTTTTATTGTTAAGAAGCAAGAGATGGGGAAGCTGCATAGTCTATCCGCTATGATAAAAATAATTTGGAATAATAGTAAGAAATAATAGCCAAGCCCTCGCGCAACCGGGCTATTATTCTTGAGACTACGTAAGCAATGATAAAGCATACGCGCGCTGTAGAAAACGACGTATCAAATTAACATAGAACAGAAGTGCCGAAAAGAAAGAAAATAGAAAAGAGTAACACAATTCATACGTTGAGTCTGGCACATAAAATGTGTCATCCAAAATCGATATATCAAATTAACACACGCCGGTGTCGGAAATTTAACACAAGGTTTTCCATATACAAAGGAATAGTAAAAGGCATTAAAGCTAACGCATTAACTTAAAATAAAATGCTAGTCACAATTACAGGTTGCCGTTACGAATGTCAACATAATATAATCCTAGTCCATATCGAACGAAGGAGGGAAGAACCGGAAGTTTAGATTGCAAGATGTACCGCTCGATAAGGATAAAAAAGAGAGATAAGAAAAAGGGGGGAAAAATAGGAGCTGAGACGTAACAATATATATATATATATATATATATATATGTATATATATATACATAATAGATATATGCATAATAAATCATAACACAATATTAAATATTATAAGATAAGATGTATAGATAAAAAAAGTTTAAAGCTTACAAATTGTTGGACTGGTTCCTCTGACATTTTTAACAATGAATAGAAATCTTTTATGGCTTCTATTGTCTCCAGTGGTAAAACTGGTGAAATAAGACCGTTATCAATCCCTCCCAAAGGACTTTGTGCACGGCGTTTAATGATACCTTCTATTTTAATTAGTCGCTGCTTCATTTCTCGCAACATGATATTCGATACAGCTTGCATACGTAACATCTGCTTTCAACTTTCTGCAATACAGTTAACAATATTATACATACATAATAGTAATTTATAATATATCTAATAAATTGTATACATCTGAAAGTAATTGTTTACCTCTCACATTAAAATTCTCTTGTATATTGGTAGGTAATGTATTGGTAGGTAATGTATATTCTGCAATATTATAACCTAGTTATTGCACAGTTAATCTACACTAATTTGCAATCTATACTAATTTGTAATGCATGTATCTTGTAATATTATCGGGATATTCGAGCTTTGCCTTTCCTCAGGTCTCGTGAGCAATGGGTCATTTATTTCGTCTGAAAATATATGACTATTATATTATATTGATAAATTAAAAATATAATTATTACACACACACACACACACACACACACACACACACACACGAACACACGCGCGCGCGCACACACACACACACATACACAACACACATAATATAATTACTATATTTGCTTAATGTTATATAATAAAATATCATTTTGTAAAGTTACATAATTATTACTTGTATCAGTAACTGGTACAATGTTATAAAATTCGTTTAATTCCAAATTGGAAGGACATGGTGGTAATGATGAAATAGTACCCGTGCAAGTCTATTTCTCTGTAAACAATACAGTATAAAAATGTGAAATTGTAATAAAATTGAAGGATAGAAATATATAGTATTTTTGTGATATTTTACTCTTCAGAATTTTTCGTGGTTCAATATGATCTATTGTTTCTTCTTCTTCATCGCTTCCATAAGAGTTATATAAAACATGTTGTCTTTTCCCACGCCCGAATCGTTCAACGTCAGTCGTTTCATAAGTCGAATCTGCTGCACACTTTCGTGCTGATTCTAGAGACGCTATAGTAAGAACAAGAAATATAGCATTCAGATTTGTTGTATATATGAAAGATAATATCACAATAAAGAAATAACGTATAGAAATATAAAAGGAAGCATAATATTAACCCTTGGTGTATTAGGTGGGATATGACATATCCCAGCAAAATCTAAACTTTAATAATTTTTTAAGAAATATTATACGGAAATTGCCGTTTCATGCAGTTAGAAGTTGTGACGTTGTATTTTTATTTAAATGATATATTTGTAGATAGATAGTGTTCAGAGTAAAATTAACCCTACAGGGTTCAAGGCATGATTGTTTTTCATTCGTGGAGTTAATGATAACTTTAAAATATAAAATATTACGATTATTATTAAAGTGTATTTTTGTGTTTAATACATATTCAATGCGTATTTAAAATATAATTTAAATGGAATTAGTAATGAACTTTGATTAAAAATCTAAGCTATATTCATTTTAAAGCTGTTGCATATTGTGACTAATATTTTATATCTTTTCATAATTGAGATTGTAAAAAAATTACAGCACATATTAGTCTGCGAGCACATGTATTTAATAATTTCCAACAATATATTTCTTATGCTATAATGTACAAAATTCATTCCAAATGATAAAAATTCAGGAGAGATTAATGGAAATACATACCGCAATATTTTATTATGTCCACTTTATGTCGAGACCATGTATCATAATTTGGATGTGCACACTTTGATATTAAGGTTGCACTATTTGTTATTCGAGGCGACCACCAACAATGTTCAATGCCGCCATATTCACAAAACTATGTTGTTGGAATCTCCGAAAATGTTGAATCGGACAAAAATTTTACTACTGCATAATTTTTGTCAGAAGCCATTACCTTCCAATCTGATGTAAAAAACATACGACGTTTCAATCTGTATATGCAGAGTCAGCCATATAACTACAATATTAGTTACCCACACAACACAAATTTCCAAGGAACGTCTTAAGGATGTTCTTAGAATGTCTAGACATTTTAAGGATATCCCTTGGAGATTTATGCTATCTAGATAATAATAATTATTTTTAGAATGCAGAAAGTCAAATACAGCATAAAGAAAATGATATTACATTTACACGAAAGAAGCGTTTATATTATTTATATTATATTACTAACCTTGCAAATGTATAGTAGTAAATGTATAATAGTAATTGTTGAATACGAATTCCAACATATGTAAGTTTTCATGTTATAATACTTAACATTCAGATGAAAGGAACATAGGTTTCATTCTTACTCTCAAAATATATAATTACTTTATCATTTAATGTTTAAAAATGTTGTAAAGCTTTATAGTATCTAATTGTTATTAAGTAACATTGAAATAATTATATTGACCTACTTCGTGTAAGTTTTTAATTTTTAAGCATTTTCTTTTAATTTGTGTTACTGGAACTGTTATAATGTCCGAATTTGTAATGTTTGATATTAAAAATATACCAAGTGATTGTGAGGGACAGTGAGCTATAAAAACAGATTCTGGGTTTGTAAAACGTTGTGTGTGAATATATAAAATATTATTTTCTTCTAATATCTTTAAAATAAAAAATAAAGAGTTATCAGAAAGTAAAGCACAGTTATCGATTTCGTTTTCTGAAGTCTTAAAAGTTTTATATTGTAAATGAGATATTTCGTTACTTTTTTATACACAACAATTGGATATTGTTCTATTACATATGATACAACTGGAAGCTGGGATTCTTTATATAAACGATTTGATAACTCTTCTAAAGGTGCTTCCGATTGATGTAAGTTCTTTTTCAGTTTTTGCATATGATTTTCATATTTAAAACAACTAAAGTTATCTAAAGAACCAAATCTTTGTACGTCATTCGCAAGGTGAAGAAGATTATGCACATTATAAGAAATATATTCGTTGCCATAAATATTTCCAAAATTAGAAACAAACCATAATAATAATGAGTTTGCATAAGCGTTTAATTTTATACATAGCTGCTCATCAATCAATATTCTAATGGCAACACTAAGAGAAAGGAAGTGACTGTAACAAATTGGAGATAATACTGAACGCATCACAACAATTCCACTATACAGTAAAAATTGACGAAATTCTGTCGCTTTCCATTTGTCAATATCATCTAAACTTCTTGGTTTTCGTGCAAATTCAGATGTAATGCATGACTTTATTGCAATTAAATTTTGTGAAATAGATTTTACATTTTCTGCAGATAATCTAATATCTTTATGTCCTCTTATCAATAACTGGAGCAACCTTTTTACAACGCCTAAACAAACTATTATAGATGCATGTAGTCAAGTGGTACTTGGGACACCATGTCAATAGAAAGTCGTTCTAAGATCGAATCACCCGTGTGATGTTCAATTTGACTCCTGTTTCTGAATGTATCATCTGTACGTAAACTATTGACAGTTTCTGGGAATACAACTCTATTTCATATGAAATCTCCTTCCTGTGTATATTTCGAACATGAGAAATAACCAGTATGTCCTTTTGTAAAGGTAATAAACGATTTTGCGGAAGCATCGCACAATACAGCATTCAGAGTAACTGTATATCTCTTGTCGGAAACAATTATACCTGTTTCAGACAGGAAGATAAATTCATTAACAAACTTTAATAAAAATTCATTAGCATCAGTAGAGTTATGCATTCCATGATAAATACCAATGACAAATGGTAATGTATAAATATTAATATTTTTTATAGACGCCATAATAGGCCAAAACTGACTACCTGAACTTTTTGCAATTGGTAGTCCATCTATATTAATATTTAATTTTATTTCATTTTCTTTAATAAATTTGGAATATATATTTAAGGAACGCTTGAGACCAGAGAGCAACCCAAAACGAATATAGCGGCCACCACACATATGTGTAATATTTACGGTTGCATTTCGTGATGTCTGCAGTAATATTCTTACGTCATTTGGTAATTCTGCGTGACCATGCTTCCTTAAAATTGCAAGTAACTCGTTTGCAGTATTGTGCGAAATGTTTCGTTCTATAATTAATTTTTTTATATCTTCCCGTAAATTAGGCATATCAGTACGATCAGAAATATCATTTACTTCTGACATATTATTTTGCATCTCAATGGTACTTTCTGTATCATATTGTAACTTGACAATCGAATCATTCATTTCATCAAAATAATCGCTCAAAGTATTGTTCAATACATTATTTACTTCATTGGATATATCATCAACAATTTCTAAACTAATTTCTTTATCTTTCACCACATTACATATTGTATCTGATTTTGGTAATTCTGCTACATTGCAATGGCCATAATAGTTTAATTCACGTCTAATAAGTAGATTCTTTCGTCTGTTTGATAAGTGTTGAAAACTTTTTGACATTATTATGTTTTTTCTGTGAATACTACAATATATTAATACTGAGAATAATTATATTTGTAACATAAAAATATGTCCATTTAACAAATACTTACTTAATACACTGTATATTCAGAAGATATTCAACAGATATTATGTATCGTATTCCCTTGAAACGTGGCAAAATGCTAAAACATACGACAAAATTACATATATCATATAATATGTGCATGTCAATTGTAACGCTAAGTACTTTTTATTATTAGTAAATATGTAGAAATGCTACTTCACCAAAAACCGTATTTATTTTTAATAATCTATAAAACAAGCTACAAAAATACTAGGTGCGCAACTAAGTTTCCGGGTTTCACACATGGATGGCGCTAACGACACATGTAGTCGACATACATGTCTGAAGTTGTGTTTTTTATAGCTTGGACATCTGTTAACAATAACCAGTCGTAATACCAATACAACAGCAACGCAAAAATATTTTTCTAACAACGAAGATGTCGAGTTTTGTGCCAAATAAACAACATTTGCGGGAAGCTTTGCTTTTCTACTTTGACTTGAAAAAAAGTGCAGCTGAAGCACGTCGTTTGCTTGAGGAGACCTAATGCGAACATGCACTATCGAAAACTACCTGTGGAGATTGGTTTAAAGAATTGGCTTGGTTTAAAGATTGGCTTCAGAAGTGGCGATTTCGATACTGAGGACAAGGAGCGCTCCGGAAGACCAAAACAATTGAGGATGCCGATCTGCAAGCGTTATTGGATGAAGATGATACGCAAACACATGATCAACTTGCAGAGGCATTAAACATGACTCGCCAAGGTATTTCCAAACGTTTACATGCCATGGGAAAAATTCAAAAGGAAGGAGAATGCGTGCCGCATGAGTTGATTGAGAGACAGATGGAAAATCGAAGAGCCACTTCCGAAATTTTGCTTTTGCGGCATGAAAGAAAGAGTTTCCTGCATCGAATTGTTACTGACGATGAGAAGTGGATATATTTCGAGAATCCCAAACGTAAAAAATTGTGGCTATCACCTGGCGAAGCATCAACATTGACGGCACGGCCAAATCGCTTCGGAAAGAAGACAATGCTCTGCGTTTGGTGGGACCAGAAAGGAATCGTGTACTATGAGCTGCTGAAACCGGGCGAAACAGTCAATGGGCATCGCTACCGACAACAACTGATCAATTTGAACCATGCATTGCTCGAAAAACGGCCAGAATGGGACACGAGACACGAACGAGTGATATTGCAGCACGACAACGCTTCGTGCCATCGCACTTCTATCGTCCAGGACACCATCAAAACGCTGAAATGGGATCCGCTACCGCACCCGCCGTATTCGCCAGGCCTGGTTCCTTCCGATTATCACTTGTTTTGGTCGATGGCGCATGGCTGAACTGGGCAACACTTGGCCAATTTCGAAGAGGTGCAAAATTGGTTGGATGAATGGTTTCGGTCCAATGACGTGTCGTTTTATCGTCACGATATTCATGTATTGCCAGAGAGATGGCAAAAATGTGTAGC